CATTTTCCAAGCAAATTTGAGGGTCCCCACTCTGAATCCTTCCGAGGTTTTCAGCGATCCCCGCTTTTGGATTCTCAGTTACAACTGATCCCCCCTTTTGTTCTCCCAAAAATCAAGTAATCCCCTCTAAAATCCTCCGACCCCGCACCCAGGCGACTGGTCCCTAACCCATATATGGCATACATGGCAAGACCTGAAACCAGGCCAAATTGATGGGAGTCGAGTGCTCTGACCACTGCCTCACCCCTCCCCCATGTGTTCAGTTCAAAACAAAAAACTATGTATTTTCTAAAAAAGTGAACCAGTAACACATTTAATTGTATTTTGCAAATAAAACATAGGAATTAACAAAATACCAATGCTATTACAATGCTACAGTTCAGTCATGATAAAGATACAATGTAAATGTTGAAAAAAAATTTTGAATCCACCAGGATATTGAGGAATTTTGATTTTCAGAGGACAAAAATCTTGTTCCTTAATAATTTAAAGCATGTTGCATTCTTTCTTACATTTTCCAAGGGCTAAAGATGTAATAAATCATCTGTAAAATGGGAGCCCAAGAAAATGAATGTCAAATTTTTCAGAATTTTAAATGTGTAATCACAATTCTCGTAAAATTTGACATTCATTTTCTCGGACTTCCATGAGAAATTTTCTTTGGTGTTACTACAGATGATTTATTACATCTTCAGCCCTTGAAAAATGTAAAACAAGGAATGCAAAATTCTTTAAATTATTCTGTTTTTTTTCGTTTTTGTCCACTGAAAATTACAATTACTCAATTTCCTTGTGGATTCTGTCTTAAATTATTGGTATGCCTATGTAGAAATTCATTTTTATCCTTGGTTCATTTTATTTAAGAAAGAAAAAAACTTTCATATTAAAACCAAGGAAAACATGCAACAAAACACTGAGTTTCCAAGAACTTGTAGCCCACACTGCAGCTGGCAGTTTGTTTGCTGTGTGCAGGGTGTTGTTTTCGTTTGTAGTTTGTAAAGTGAGAGGTGTCTCTCAGACAGCCCAAATGAAACCGCCAGCTAGTCTACGTGGGTTAAAGAACTTGTTGATCACAAACTTTGTATTGTTTCATTAAAACATTGAAACCCCTAACAATTCCAGCCATCTTGACCTACTTACGCTTGGGCAGTATTAATAACGTGGTATATTTACAAAGCTTTCCATTTATAAACCCACAAAGGGCTAACACTAATTAAGAGATAAGAAATATTAACTCCATTTATGTACATGTAGCTTTCTGTTAAACACACAAAGGCAACTTTAACTCATAATTTGTGGTCCAAAGTTTGCATAATCTGGACACAAAACCAACTTATGACCTGTTCCCTTTAAGGCCACTTTGCTTTGGGCACAATAAAGACTCTAAAATTTTTAGGTAATTGCGAATCTAGAAATTGAAACTAAAGGCTGGTTATTAAAACAAAGTTTAGGTGGTGTTTAATAACAGAACTTTTGCATCAGTCATTTTTCAATTATTTTACCATCCTTACCGTTCATATCTAGGAAATGTACCTTGTTTACCCGAAAATTTTGCATTTTGTTTTCAGTTTCTCCTGGATGTTACAGTCATCCCATAAAAGAGAAATATTGAATATTGAAAAGAATGTTGATGCAAAATTTGGGGGGCAAAAAAGGTGCATTATAATTTTATGGTCTATGTGAAAATTAGGGAATCAGTGGATTTCCATAATGATATAATTATGCATTTGTTGGATTTTGAAGTAGCACAAAACCTTGATGACACTGCCCCTAAAAAGTAATTGGAAAGTTTGGCGCTTGTATAAACTTAAGCTATTCAATAAAATCACCCTGCCATTTTCTTGTTGTCTTGCTCAACAAGGAATTTAGACCTTCTTAATTGGCTTCTTGATTATGTTAATCTAGATATTGAAAATTCGTGTCCCAAGCCGAATGCATAGATTATTAATTTTAGTGTTATATACATGTTAATAAAAATTGCAGTCTGTCAAATCACAGACATGAAAACCTATAAAAATACCTAAAAATCTAAAAAAATGTTACCAATTTTTTTTTCCACACACCCTTTCAGTATTAATAAATTGTTGTTAAAAACTAATAAACTCGAAGACATAACAGTAAGTGAACAGTGCAGAATTTTTCGTGATGAATGTCATCAAAGGCAAAGTTTTGCATTTTGCTACATGGATACAGTTGGTTGGCTTCACTGGACGTGACCAGGCTAGCTAAGTTTATCCAATTAATCATAAACATCTATTGCTTATAAGTTTATTAACTGAATAACAGACTAATAGGCATGTTTACATTAATATTTTTCATTTTTTCCACATGTTTATCATACGACAAAATCCTAGCAGTGGTTAAATAATGACCTTGTTAGCTGACTAAGATTTGGGCACAAGGCCATAATATCAATTTTACAGCATTTTGTTATAGGCAATGATGTCATATCTTCTTTTTAAGTTAATATGCAAAAAACAACTTGAAGTATAAACTCTCAGTCGACACCTTATTCGCTTTTTTTTGCTCCCTAAACAACTTTTGTTTGCTTGTTCAGATTCATAATTATGTTCAGTAGAGTTTATTAACTCAGCAGCAGAAACTTCTAAAAAAATTTCACCCCCCCAAAAATCATATTACTCAGCTACTCTTCGTTTTTAACTTTTTAAAATGATTTTCACTGCGTTTTCTGAAAACGTTTTACCAGGAAATAAACTTTGCGGCTGACTTTTCACAGACCTTCACAACACTTACGCCTCTTCCTGACCACTTGCAAACTTTCCTGATTTTCCCCTGGTCAAGAAAAATCACATTTCTTTTATAATCATATATATAACTATTTATATTATAGCTTTTCCCTGATTATGTCTGTCCATGATAACACTGTCATTGACACATTTTGGCTGTGCTGTGATTGTCCCTGATGCCTCAAATAATGTTCAGACGATCGGGACAATCATATGAAAACGCTACCCAGACGATCGCAAATGACTCGGATGACTGATATGACCTCTATCGATCGCTTGCAGAGAGTTGAGTTTTATGTGGATGATTGGGAGGATCGTGAAAATTTTGAAGTGATCTTGAAATGCTCTCAGATGACTGAGACCATCAGGACGATCGAAGGCTATCCCAGAAATCATCACTATCATTCCATTAATTGAGAATATATTTGGCCTGGATGCCGCTGAAGTCAAAAATAATTAAAAATGTTCACATCACGTATGGGTGCTATTTGAATTAAAGAGAAAGTCTGTCTCATCAAGTTCTATACATGATACTATATCTTTGTGGAACTGACTTCTAGCTTGTTGACACCACAGAATAGAGAGAAAAAGAAGATAGCATAGCTCAAGATTTGCTCACCATTTAAAATCCATCATTACATGTATGTTTGGCTTGTTCGTGAAACCCACACAAAAATTCTATTGTCTGACTCAGAGACATCGCTGATGACACCCCCTGTCTCTTGTCGTTGAGGCACTCGGACGATCACATGGAAACCACCTATCGTCTCAGTTGTCTGGATCATCTCAAAACTTTTTTAAACGACTGGGGTGATTGGGATGATCATATGGAAACCAGGGTTTATATACCTATCTCCCCATAATAAACACTTAGAGATCTCCATCTTTAAGGTGATTGCTGCAGAGTTTCACCTACAGCTGTATACTAACATTAAAAGCCGGAGTCAAGCTTAATATTTTAATTAGAGAGCATCATAAAATATTTTTCCTGGAGAAGATTTCAAAGGTGTATTTTGATGTGGCATGCGATTGAGTTACAATGTAGAGCATTTCAAACTTAAAAACTTGAATCTTTAACAAAAAGAGTTATAGAGAAGCTGGTAAATGATGAGGATGTTTTTGTAAACCAACTGAATCTGGATTGTATTATTTTCCATTCTGCACAAACAAAAATATTATTATACCACCAATTGTTAAAGAAACAAAAGAATGTTACTGTACTTACAGTAAACACCCACTCACTAATAAGAAACTGTGGTTTAAGAACCTGCTGGAGAACATAAAGTCCTGAATAAAGCAGCTAAAATAGTTCTAAAATAGGCTGGGCAAAAAGAAAAGGAAACTCAACAAGGCGGCTCTCAAAACAGTTAGCAAGCTAAGTCTGGGGCAGTTTCCTGGAAAGAGACAGTTGGAGGCCTGTGAGATGGCAAAAAAAAACCTTGCTCAGTCCACCAAGCAACGTTCAGCTAGTCTCCTTGGCAAAGAAGTAAAAAAACCTTACTGCAGAGAGAGGCCGGGATGATTATATTTTGTTTACATGAATGCTTAAAATATTTTTTTGGCTGCCTAATCTAAAAAAATGATATTGTTTGGGGGTCAAAGTGGCTCCTGTGTACCAGGTGATGAAAAAGCTAAAAGTGGCTCATATGGGGCTCTAGACGCTATGATGACTTATCCCACTCTATGCCATGTGCAATGGCTACAGAATGTGATAAGAAAAAAAAGGGGGACCTGCAGCTTACTGAACTTCTGAATACAATCATGTACTTGATAGAGCAATAAACATCTTTTAGAAAATCCATGTAAAAATTAAGTTTTGATCAAAAGTTAATACTGAGCATGAAATTAGAGGAACAAACTTTTGGGACACCCTGTTCATCTCCTTCATAGAAATTAAAAACCTAATTAAGAACCTACAGTTGTACTTAGCCTTAATTACTCTGTAACGTACCCCAAAATAAATGAACCTTTTTTGCCAGACCACAAAAAAAATGTAAGTTAGGTTCTTATTAGCGAGTGTTTACTGTACATGTATCGCATTCATTTTACCTGTTTTGGTTTCTTAGTTTATAGAGCGATAACACAAGATTTACTACAAACATCAGTGAACTTAAGCCAGTTTATGTGGCTTAATCCAGTCATGTCCAGTGATTCCAATCAACTGCAGCATTAAATTTAAACATCTGCCTTGATGACATTTATTCATGAAAGTAAAATAAGAACTGTTGACTTGTGTCTTCGAATTTTTTAGTTTTAAACAACAATTACCTTTTGAATTCTATCCTCGTATGTAATAGCCTGTAAAGCCACAGCAATGTGACCCTCCACGGTCACTGTTATTCCACGTACAGAATCTACTGTTATTCCACCGAAAAAAGACCATACTACTTCATCCAGCTGAATTCTGCGAACAAATTCGCCATTAACAGTGTATATAGCCAGCGTCAGGCGGTATGTCTCTCGTTCCGCACCAGCAAGGACAACATGGTCACTTGCCAGGTGACATGCAATGCAATAATAGACATCTCTCTCATGTTTGATATTAAATTTGCCAAGCTGGTGTCCCTCCACATCAAATAAGTATGAACTGCCATCTTCTCGGTCCACTATCATGACGCGACCATCACAAGTAGCAGTGATATCTGTTGCCCTCTTGAACACTCCTCCACCAAAGCTACAAACGAACTCGCCACTCAGCTCTTGAACATCAACAACGTTATCCATCCTGTCATCATCTGTCAACAGCAGAATTTTGCCGCGTTGTTTGCCGCTGGTCACTGTTAGTCTGCCCCAGATCCCTCTCCTCACAGGAAACTTGTGCTGTAGGTCAGCAGTCTTGTTAAAAACCTGCACTTCCTTCTCCCATTTCTCAGCCTCAGGCTTCATCAGTCGGACCAGAAGATAAATCATGTCGTCCTCGCCTGCAGTGGCGACATCCAAAATAGCTAACTTTGTATCGGCGTCATCAGTTTGAGGATTAAACCTAAAATCAAACTTTCCGTTGCTATCAAACACCTTCACGGTTTTATCCCCATTGTCTGCTATCAGGAATTGTCCTCTATGGTTTGTAGCGATACGCCACGGATTCTTCAGCTTGTGCTCCTCTTCACCCTCCTGAGCAAATGACCATGGCGTAACACAGCGGTGCTCCTTACCTTGTTTTGCCAGTACTTTAACAACTCTTTCGTTGCGGAGTCGATCCACTTCCTCTTTCCCGGTTTCAACATCAGGCAACGTCCACATTTTTCCACTACCGAGCATGCTCATTACATCATAGATCACACGATTAGCGTGACAAACAGAAAAAATTATTTGCCTTCTTTCGTCTTTATTAAAGCGAGCCTTCAATCTCAATCCTCTCTCCAACTCAACTTTGAAATATTCTTTAACAGCTGGCACTTGGTGTAACTCGTCAAGGCAGACTCTACAAGCCCCTAATGCGTCTGTAGGATTGTCAATATTCCTCAGTATCGTAGCCATCAGTCGATATTGCATAGCTAACAGGCGATCAGGTAATTCCAAAGCTTCATTACTAAAAGCTCTCATTGCTTCCAATCGAGCTTCACTAAATGTCTCCTTCGCTGTGCTAAGCTTCCTCGTGGCCGACTCATCCAAGGCAGTAAGCTGTAATTTCCTCATTTCTTTAGCAATATCGAATTGCTCAACACTAGCTGTTGCAGCGGCTTCTATCGCGCGATTCTCGGTACTGGGTCTGGCACTTTCAAACACTTCATACAACAACTCGATTCCTTCTTTAAAAAGGCTCATACTTGTCTTCAAAGGCGTTCTTGCTAAACCATCCAACTTCGATTTTATTTCATCGATTTCACGGACGATCAGGCCACGGAATTTCTGATCTGTAACATCACCCTCATTCAACTTTTCTGCCAGTTTATCTCTTCCTTTATTCACCAACATGCCGATAGTGGCTTTAAATACAGCTGTTATTAGTGAAGACATTTTCAGTACTCCCGTTAATGAAGATTTTAGTCTGCACTGGTATCTCCTTAACCGTTCAGTTCAACCGCTGGCTGTAGATAAAGAAATGCATGCGAGGTTATTAAGTTGTCAGTAACAACTTAAACAGGAAAAATTCCAAGAGAAATTCTCAAATGAGAACTTAGTAAAAACGAGGAGAAAATGATTGTCTAGTGCTTTAGAAAAGAAACTTAGTAAAAAAATCTGTTTCTGGTGTGTTTTGAGGAAAAATCTTCACTATGCGTAAACTTGCTAGCTATGATTTTGGATACCGCTTTAAATCCGTCCGACAAACATGTTTAATATAAACACTTGAGGGCTATCTCTTCAGTGAAGGAGTCACCTAAATTCATGTGTGCAGCAATCTGGTATAGACAATAATTGTGACGTCATGTACTACTGAATAAACGGTTTTGGTAGCCTGCCATTTCATTTGCATCAATTAAAATCATAATCCTGTACTGACCTTCTCCTTAATATTACTATTTATCACTTTCAACACCACCCTCAGCTGTTCACCGCAATTCGAAAAGCTTCGAATTACTTATTTGTTTACGTATCATTTTAGGTCATTTTATGTGCTTTATTGAAATAAGGGTGGCATGAATAAAACAGCAAGATCGGCTTCAGTATCTCAGGGGAACCCAACGAGAATATAGTTCAAAACCACTTAAACATAGCACTGTTAAGCGTATTTTTAATTAGTATTTAAACGGTAGATATAGGCATATTTTTATCCCCTAAAAATTTTTCATCTGTTCGGATTTCCTCAGGCTGAACGTCTAGTGATCCAAAAATTATAGGGAACAAAATTTACCTTTTCGAAAATTTCAGCCAGAAAAAAGGCTCCCGAAAATTCTAGGTGACCTTTCTAGGGTAAAAATCAGTTAAAAATAGGCAATTATACCATTTTTTAGATGTTCGAAAATCCTAGGAGAGGCAGGCAAACAAGACATTTTACAACAAATGTTCCGAAAATTCTAGATCTCAAATCGTCTTCCGAACAGATATTCTTCCGAAAATTGTCGTTGGGTGCCCCTGGTATCTGAATACCTTAACGTGTAATAAAACTTCAAATCAGACATGAAAAATAGTGATGGTTGTTAGCAGTGACAAATTGATCATATCGGCGGGAACATTATTGAATCACTGATTACAAACTAAGGAATAGTCACCTTGGTAAGAGTCATACTTAACGTAAATCCTCTATCAAGCTCCTCTAATAAAACCCCCTAACCCCCCTTTTTCAGAGATGGAAATTTAATGAGCGCCCCCCCCCCCCCAAATCTCTATTAAGCCCCCCTCTCTCCCTCCCCTCCATCCTTATTTTTTACAAACAATTAACGTGGATTGATCAGTTCTCTTGGTACAATGTACTTAGGCTGGAAGTTCATATTTTTTTTTGTCTTCGGGCACATGACCTCCAACTTCATGTGCTTCACTTTTTTAACTCAACGCTTTATTTCTCTGTGTAACCTGAATAAGAATTTTGTTTCTGTTAGTTTTACTGCTCCCACAAGTGAATTAAATACTGTTGACAGTGACTTGTACAACACGTAACCGGTCTACTCTGTCTCTTACTACGGTATTTTTGCTACCGGTGATGCGTTTCGCTAAATCAAATAATCCCCCCCCCCACCCTCTCTTTTATAAGCTTCTTCCCTCTATTATCAAAAGTGCTTGTTAAAAATATGCACCCCGGTGGGCCAATAGAGAATTTACGGTATGTCTAAAAATTGCTAAAACTTATCGACCAACCGTGGAAATAACATCCGCTCTTAAAGCAAATTCATTTACTTTTGAGCTGTATTTTTCCTGTTTCGGTATCTATCGCTTCATTAGCAGTGGTAAAATGAAACTGTTATAGTATTTTAGTTTTATTAGAGAAAATGTCATGTAAAGGGAATAAGTGAGGTATCGCGACAACACGCTCAATTATTTAAGTTTCATCTTTGAAATATTCGACCAACCGTGGAAATCACATATAACAACACTTTCCTACTGAAAAACTTGCAATCAAATTTCAGCTTGCGCGGTTTACTTTTTTGTTCTGCAATCAGGTGTTAAAGCAAAGCTATTGAAAAAAGTTTTCGTCCCAAGTTTAGTTTCAGAAAGACCGGCAAGCGTGAGATCAGTTTACTGAATTGAAAAAACTAAGGGCTTCTACAACCCGGCGAACTCTTCACACTTATATCTTGACTAACATTTCAGGGTTTATTCGCTTTAGTTATTTATTGTTTATTTCAGGGCAATGTTAAAGAAAATTCAGATATTTTTTCCCGAGTTCTGATTTGGAAATCATAATGTGCTATTCACTGATTTTACGTAATATTATATGCACCTATTTGTGCGTTTCAGTCAGTTTAAGAATTATCATACAAATATGAAGAGACTTGACATAACATTGACAAAGTTTATAAAACAACACGACTGTATTCCTGTTAATTCTCGGTTTGCGGCCTATACTCAGAACTTTCTGAGTTTGAATGGCATGAGTTGGTATAAAACTAACTATTATACTGAAGATTCTTTTCGTACTCATCCTTTGCTCCTTCAGCTCCCTCCTCGTGAGCGAGGCACGTTTTTTAGGATCATGGTCTTTTTCAGTCTTAGAATTTCAACATTATTATGTTTCAAAAAACTAAGTCTTTCTCCAAACTGAAAGGCGAGCGATGTAAGGAACGAATTTCAATTGATATCTTAGGGAGAATCATTTCGATACCCGGTCATCGCTTCTTAACTACCGTCACGTTAAGACCACCCTCTGACTGAACTCTTTCACTGAGACCTTTCCAGTCAGTTGTGCCGTGAACACACTTTAAGATAACTATATACAACTCAGTGCTTTCAATGAATATATCTAAATCAATAAGCTCCTACGCAGAGATATTTTTTCTGTTATTTTGGGCCCAAGGTGATTCTCAACTGAATTTCGATACTGTTTTAGTTAAATTGAAAGAACTACTGTTAAACTCTTTATTCCAAGTAAAAATCTGTCATCTTTTGTAGCTTTACCTGTAAACTTGCGAATTCGAAATTCGGCTTAAATTCACTGATAGAATGCAGGGCCACTTGCACACTTCACCAGGCATCGAGTGGTTCGTTTGGCTCATTTGTTTTTTCGCAGTATACAAACAACAAACAAGTCCACCACTGCTCGGAGTAAAACAAGCCACAACAAAAGCCCGCTGACGGCCACCAAAAATAACTCCTTCATCGTTCTTAATTCTAGTGTATCCACAACCGTGCTAATGACTTCATAGATGGCCTTATTTACTGTGTAGTTGCTCTCAAAAGGCATAAATTTTGCTTTGCTTCAGATAGAACTTTGCGCTTCAGTAAAAGATGGGTGGCTTGAAGACCCAGCTTAAAGACGGTAATTAATGTTGTCAGACTTCGGGCACGTACAGAAGAGAATTTATAGGAAAAAAGAAACTTGCGATTGCCGATAGTTATCGAGATAGTTTGATCAAGTGATTTTATGTAACACGTAGTATCTCGTAACAATTAGTGCTCAATAGTTTACGACTAAGCAAAAGAAAGTAATGAAATTAGAGTGTAATACCGTGAAGAAGTGTCTGCTATCTATTTCACAAGTTAAGTGATATCAGACTATTAATGAAAAAGCTAAAGAGATACAACTTCCCCCAAAAGCTACTCAAGTTGGAAAGTAAACTTCAATCCAATATGAATAAATTCAGTCAGTAGTAACTCTTTAAAGTTTGCTAAGACTAGTCAGATAAGAAACTACGAGATATATATGTTTATAAAAAAAAAAGAAGACTTTCAGATAGAGTTCTTGTACTTACCTGCTCTGTATTGAAGAATTTACCCGGCTGCCGGACTAAATGGGAATAGACTGCACGTTTAAATGGTGACGAAGAACGTTAACTGTGCTGAACTTCACTGACTGTTAGTTGTCCACTGTTTTCTTTTATGGAGTTTCCAGACAAAAACATTCTTGGAATTTTGTTTTTATTCCGCGTTGGCCATTGTGTTTTTGCTGACTCACTAATGACAAAGATAACATTTATTGAATGGAAGAAACGAACAATTATTTNGGGCACGTACAGAAGAGAATTTATAGGAAAAAAGAAACTTGCGATTGCCGATAGTTATCGAGATAGTTTGATCAAGTGATTTTATGTAACACGTAGTATCTCGTAACAATTAGTGCTCAATAGTTTACGACTAAGCAAAAGAAAGTAATGAAATTAGAGTGTAATACCGTGAAGAAGTGTCTGCTATCTATTTCACAAGTTAAGTGATATCAGACTATTAATGAAAAAGCTAAAGAGATACAACTTCCCCCAAAAGCTACTCAAGTTGGAAAGTAAACTTCAATCCAATATGAATAAATTCAGTCAGTAGTAACTCTTTAAAGTTTGCTAAGACTAGTCAGATAAGAAACTACGAGATATATATGTTTATAAAAAAAAAAGAAGACTTTCAGATAGAGTTCTTGTACTTACCTGCTCTGTATTGAAGAATTTACCCGGCTGCCGGACTAAATGGGAATAGACTGCACGTTTAAATGGTGACGAAGAACGTTAACTGTGCTGAACTTCACTGACTGTTAGTTGTCCACTGTTTTCTTTTATGGAGTTTCCAGACAAAAACATTCTTGGAATTTTGTTTTTATTCCGCGTTGGCCATTGTGTTTTTGCTGACTCACTAATGACAAAGATAACATTTATTGAATGGAAGAAACGAACAATTATTTTAAGAGACTCTTAACATGTAAGCGCACTGAGTCGAAAAAAAGCGGAAGACTTAACAGGCACAGATCATCATATCCTTAATTTTCATTCTCCTCGATGGCTTCTTTGATATCTAGCGCCAGTTATATTAACGAATGATGATTTCAGTCCCCAAGTGAGATAGCAGTTAACGATCCTCGCTACACTTTAATGATTTTACCTCAAGTGAATTACTAATCATAATTTCTCTGTCGACAACTTTTGAGTTTCCAGTGAATTCCG